TTCGCCATCGAGGGCGAAACCATAACGTGCGCGCGTTCGCGACCGGCAACAAAAACAATACAATTAACTGTTCCGTGCTGTGCAACCCGTCATAGTGTTCTCCGGTCGCAGATAAGTAAGGTAAGCTGGCCAGCTTAATTACGCGTTCGGAATTACATGAATGAATAATAACTCGATGCTAACATTCGATGCGTGTATATAACGGCTCTAGCGACAAAGAGCAGCGAGCGTACCGGCAAAGCGTGTTGCCGATGAGCGAGCGTGTATGTAAACAAACGCGCGGGCCGACCTTTTGTGAGTTTTGAGGAAACAATAAAAGATCTGATTTAGCTTACTAACAAGTGTTTTCGTTAATTCTCTCATTTCTCATAGCTTCTACTCAATTCCGAATAGGTTATTAATGATTACAGGTTGACTGAGGCATACTTTCTCGTGCTCCCCGAATTCGTATTGAGCATTGATAGATACGCGTGTCCTTTCGAATATAATTACGCGATTTAATTAATTAAACGGTTATACCCCGTTACAATATATATATATATATATATATATATAGACGCGTGTTCTTCGCCTTGCGTTGTCTATTATCTATAAACAATATGGTACTCACTTATTTTGTAAATAAAGTTATTGACAATCGGTCCTTTATATATTATTTTCTATTTATCGGTCCTCTCTCCTATCTGTTTCTCTTTAAATGGATTGTAAGGTCCGTCAAATGTACACGTATATTCGTATATGTCCAATTAATACTGTGGATTAATTTATATTTTTTTCTTGGTCCTAGCGGCGTGAACAAGTTGGCTGTACGGTTGCTGTGTTTCTTTGCCTTTTACTAATACTCAAACTGAACTCAACTTTTAATTAAGTAAAGGAATAATACCGGATAACTCGGACGAATCAAACTAAATTTAGATTTCAATCGGCGAGATGAACTCTGTAATGCGGAAATATTGCGGCCTAGTTGCTCTAGCGCTCAGTAATGACTGACTAATCTCTCGTTGTTGTTTTCACCGGTTTATTATATATTATTTGTCCCTCGCATTCCGTCTCTCTCTCTCTCGCACATATACTTTAGACGTTTACACTTCTCGTAAATGAATCAGCCTCTGCCGTTCATTCCCACCGAGTCGCACACACGAATACTGCTAGCTATAGTGTTTTATTACTATGTCCGAACTGAATTCTCGAGAGCGAAATCTTAATCATAAAATATAATTATAACATAATGAAACGTCACGTAACACCTAGTAATCCGATAATTGTACTTGTCGTTTTTTGTTTTGGGTTGGGTTTTCTAGGCTATTTCTTTGTCTTTTGCTGTTTAAATTTTGAATTTAATTATCACTTCCCAGATTGGCTAATACTTTAGCTTTTCGGGGATAGCGCAGTGTTGGAACATCTGCACACCTTAGTGGTCAAACGCTAAATTATAATGAAATTAGTAAGAATAAAAGATTAATTTCGAAATGATTTATTTATCAATACATACGAGGTCTGTCCGAAAAGTATCGTGCCTACCTTTATATTTTCGTGCTAGCGTTATTCTTTATCATCTGGTGGGTGGTATCCTTCAAAGTAATAACTGATCTAAAAGCTGATCTTGTTTTTCAGTCACTTTTGACAATATCAAAATCCGACGAACGCGAAAAAGGCACTGTAAACAAAGACACGCTGCGCATGAACTATACGTCGGGCAGATGTCAGTAAGTAACTAATAGATTCGTGAGGCTTTACTGTTGACGTTTCTGTCCGGTAGAGGTCGCTTAAACACTATGGTGCGAAGATATAAACGTAGGCCCGATACTTTCCGGACAGACCTCGTACAATAATACTATTAACAAACACGAGGATACTTAAATCTATGTGTTAATTCTAGATTTAAATCTATATGTGTTAATTCACATGTTTCTCATAATTCATATCATTTTTTAAGTGTCAGAATCATTCTGTAAACGTCCGTACTTATATTTTTTTTTTACTTTTTGAACTGTGCATAGTGCTGTATGAATGGCGTGATTTTAGTTTGGTATATATACTACTGTGGGCAAAAAGTAAGGTGAATTTGTTTGTAAAATGAAAAATCTTTATTTATTCTTCTACATCAATGTCATCCCCTTCGAAGTAATCCCCTCCCGATAAAATACACTTATGCCAACGTTTTTTCCAATCCTCGAAACATGCCAAATAGTCCCTTTCCGGTATAGCCATAAGCGCCTTCTTCGATTCAGCTCTTATCTCCTCAATCGACTCGAAACGCGTTCCCCGGAGTGGTCTCTTGAGTTTTGGGAATAGCCAGAAGTCACACGGAGCCAAATCAGGCGAATACGGTGGTTGCGGAACGATATGCGTCGAATTTTTGGCGAAATGGTCACGAAGAACGAGTGCAGTGTGAGATGGTGCATTATCGTGATGCAAAAACCAAGAGTTGTTGGCCCATAATTCTGGTCTTTTTAGACGAATTGCTTCACGCAGACGACGCATAACGCTCAAATAATATTCCTTATTAACAGTTTGGCCGGGTGGAAGGAATTCATAGTGCACCACACCACGAAAATCGAAGAAAACTGTCATCATGACCTTGATTTTTGAACAACTTTGACGTGCTCTTTTCGGTCTGGCCTCGCCTTTAGCACGATATTCGCTTGATTGGTCGGTTGTTTCAGGGTCGTAAGCATAAATCCAAGTCTTATCTCCCGTAATCATGCATTTGAGCTTGTCCTGATAGTCAGAAAGCATTGTTTCACACACATCAACGCGGCGACTTTTTTGCAAGAAATTGAGCGTTTTCGGTACCAAACAAGATTTGACTTTTCGTAGGCCCAAATGGTCTTTCAAAATTGTTTTCACAGATCCTTCTGATATTCCGATCATATCAGTAAGGTCTCTAACAGTCAACCGACGATTTTCGAGCACTAATTCCTTCACTTTATTGACGTGTTGGTCATCTGTTGACGTCGATGGTCGTCCGGAGCGCTCCAAGTCATCAACACGTTCTCGACCCTCTTTGAAGTCTTTGTACCACTTATAAACATTTTTCTGCGACATGGTAGAATCACCAAAGGCCTTCCGCAACATCCTCAACGTTTCCGCAGCCGAAATTTCATTCCGCAAACAAAATTTGATGGCACTTCTTTGCTCAATTAAATCAGACATTGTAAAAATCGAAACATGCACTCTTGGTCGTTTGGTAAACACAAGCGTAAATATATTACTGATGATGACATTGACATGAAATTTGTCCCAGATGTCATTCGCAGTCCTACCAACTCAAGAAAAAAAGAACAAGCCCGAAATGTTAAGCCCGCGAAGTTTAAATTGAAAATTCACCTTACTTTTTGCCCACAGTAGTATATATATATATATATACATTATGTAATATAATATTCTATTTTATTTTTAAATGTGTGTGTATATATATATATATACATATTTTAAAATAAAATTTTAAATAAAAAATTTTCGTAAATTCGGAATAATCTATTTCTTTTATAATAATCTCGGAGTTTGGAATGATCCAAATTTTGTAAAATTTTACTTATTTTATTATTTAAATATTGTTTTTATAAGAATCAGATATTCACGCTTTTTTACATATCAACAAATGACAACGCTGGATATCAGCAACTCATCATATTTTAAAAAGAGAATTAATAGATCATAAAGCTATTTTAACTAATAAATCTACAGTACATGCAGATGAAAGATAGCTACCAGTAAAAATCGCAAATGTACCTAATGTTGTTATAGTTCGTGCGTACCTTATGAAGTTTTGCAGATTCAATATTTTATCAATTATTTCCAGACTAAAATAAGAAACTGCTTTTCACCAACTGTCAGTTGCTCGTGACTAGCTCGTTACATGACAAAAATTATATATTGCCTTGTAGCCAATTTGAGTTGCTTTCATAATTTAAAGCCAAAAGGACTTAGTGAAGTAAAGAAATATGATATAATTGAATACAATGAAATTTTGTGGTAGTCCATATCATCCAAAGCATTAGTGATTCGTTTCCCCTGAAGATATTTTCTTTTACTTATAATTAGAAGTATAGAAAAACTTTATATCGATGAAAAATTATTTTGAAGATAGGATATTGTATTTGTTAGTGTTTGAGTAAACTGAAGAAAAAATACTGAAATGAATATGTAGTTTACACATATGTTCTACGTTAAAATTAAAGAGGTTTATGAGTTACATGAAAATACATAAATCTTCATAAATCTAAAAATTATGAGATTAGAACATGAAACAGGCACGATTTCAAAATTTATTACCATCGAAAATGGAAAGAAAATGTATTGAGACGTTCGCCTTTTATATACGATCTCTTATGGGAAACGTAATACCACGTTCACTCGCTCAATAGACTCACTTTCAATAGAAAGCGATTCATTTTCAAATAAAGTTCAAATGAGAAAAAATGCACAGAACATTAAAAAAAACTTAATAATGTAAAATAAATATACAGAACTTAATTCAAAAATTTAAGCTAAGGTTACCACTGAAAACTGTAAGTAATCAATCAAAATATGAACAAAAAATTCAAGTTTATAGGTTATGAGGAAAGGTGTGGAGCGACGTACGTGGTGTGAAGGGCATCGCCCCGCACTGTTCTCGTAGTTATTGTCCTAAACCTCCTTAAGAAACATTGGTAACTTATATGCGAAAATATTCAAAAGTGTAGAAAAAATTCCAGGTCTATGGACGATACTCCAAAATCTATCGAATATGATGTGGAATAACTAGTAAACACAGTAACAAAACTATGATACCTAAAGTACTCGCTTTTACAGAAAACAGAAAGTGATTTATATTACCTGCGGGGTCCAAATTTCCCTACTCTACCCAATTCAGTTAACCAAAAATACTTATAATTATCAATGCTTTCTTTTAATTGTGTGTATGTTCATTGGCTTAAAATAAATTTTGTCAATTATTCAAAGAAAATCATAAATTAAATTTAATTTAATTGTCGATTTTTCACGCTTACCTCCAGCACTGGAAATACGTCAAGGTATGAAATTATCTTTTTACTGTGGATTATCTTATTCGCTGATTTTGATAGCTTTTACATTCGAAAATCACTGCATATATTAATAATTAACAATTGTCTATGAACGAAAATGTCCACTTATGACATTATTTATTTACTTGACATTGATATTTTGAGCGGTTATTCTGATGTTTTTTAAATTAAACGGAACCATTATGTTTGTTTTATATATATAAAAAGTCGAAAGTTTAAAGTTGTAACTTTCATTTTATAAAGGAGATGCAAAATCAACACAAATAAAAGTTTGATTAAGTTTTGTTTACAGACATACACGTGCTTGCACGTATGCGTCAACGTCAACAACCAGCCATGCTGTTCTCCCCCTGTAAGTCATTCGGATCATCCATTGGCGAATATTTAAAATCGTTAGATCTCTTTTTTTCAGTTGCATATGCGTAGATTTTGTGTTGTGCGCACTGATGCTTCTTATATGTGATTTTATTAATCCCTTATTTACGTGAATCTACTGCTAGAAATACAGTTATTGCATTGTTGATTATATCATTATTCACTATACTTATTTTTATTATTATATTTTATTATATATATACATACACACACACGCGCGCGCGCGCGCATGCGAACACGTACACACACATATGCACACGCACATATAATTTCAGCTGTTTAGTGAATTTTTTTGCTGTTTTTATACATATTGAAACATGTTGGAGAAAATATTTTTATCACTTATATCACTAATAGTCAATTTATTTATATGATGCGTATTTTATGTGATAGATGAAAACAAAGTACAAAAATTAAGAAGGTAAAATGGCTAACATATTAGCACATATTCAATTTACGCTTACTTACTACGATTTATCTCCTTTAAATTAACAATGGATGTCGGTCGTTCAATAAGTCCTTAGAAAATCCGAGAGATGTCGCTCAAAACTTCACAACCTATAATGCGATAGCAAGCATAATTTTTGTCTAGAGTGCTGCCAAAATTTCAGCCAGATCCATCATAAGTGGTTCCGTTTTTTTTTTTTACCGTTCATCAAAGTGCACAACTTATGTTTATCGCTGAAATGGAACAAAGTGAATTCTTAATGGTGATAGAACATTTCTTTTAAAAAGGCTTAATACTGAAAGAAATCAAAGCTGAATTGGTTGAAGTTTATGGTAAATTTGCCTCTATGTTTGCAACTGTTTACAATTACTAGAATAAGCTTGAATGTAGTTGCTTATCTACAAAAGATGAACATCGTTCGGGACAGTCTGTAAAAGTGACTTCCCGAAATTATTATCAAAATCCATCATAGAATTTTAAGTAATCGACGAATAGAAATGCGCAAAAAAGTTAAGACCACAGGCATATCACAAAGTACCGTTGCGTCAATTTTGTGTAAAAAATTTCGTCAAGATAGGTGTGACGTTAGCTTAGAATGCAGAATAAATTGCGTAGTCAACTCTTAGGCTGTTTCAACTCTTTTCCGTCGTAATTCTGAGTTTCTGCGTTGATACGTAACTATCAATAAAACACGGTTACACTATACTTCAGAGACAAAGAAACGGTAAAAACAGTGAATTTATAAAAGCATATGGGCTTTGAAGAAGATAAAGACGGTAAAATGCATTGACAAGATGATGAACACGGTCTTTTGGAATGTACGCGGCATTATCTACATCGATTAATTACAAAAAGGAAAGGCGAAAATAGAAGAGTATTATGCATCGTTGTTGCATCGGTTGAGCGAAGAAATCAACAAAAAACGAAAGAAAAATGTCCCTTTGCATGAAGACAATGTATGGATATATACTTGCTTATTATATACTACTTATTATTAATGTAATAATTTTGGCCATCGTAATTGTTACATTAATTCGAATTATTACATCTCTCACTGTAGTTACTAGATTTGGCCCCTATTAATTTTTTCTTATTTCCAAACTTGTAAAAAATAGCTTGGCGGACGACATACGTCGAACTACAAGGTCATTGCCCAAACAAATGCCTATTTTAAAGAGCTTCCGAAACCTTACTTTTTGGATAGCTTAAAAAATTTGAAAAAATGCTTGACAAAATGTATAGAGTTAAAAGGAGATTATGTTAAAAAATAAAAAAGAATCTACTCCAAAAAAATTGTTTCTATCTTTTTGTAAGGACTTATTAAAAACGACCATCGTATTAATGATACCAAGAAAATCAGTACTTAATTTGATTTTTCGTAAATTTTATTTTTCAAGTTGTTAATGTGGTGACATTGTTAAAATAGCATAATGTATATATCTTTTTATTTTGCTTGCCTCTTTTCTTCATTTCTTGTTATACTCTCTTATCAGATGCATAACAAATCTGCCTAAACATTTATTCTTCAAAATTGGTATTTGATATTCATAATGTGTTTCAGGCGAGCAGACATGTTGGAGATTTATTTCAAGATTTACGAGATGGCCATAACCTCATCTCTTTGTTGGAAGTCCTCTCAAGTGAACACCTTGTAAGTTTTCTATCATTTTTATTGCTTTACGATGATTAAATCTTCATCTCGTGGAAATGAACTGAAAACGCGTATTTCGTATGCATACGTCATAATAGCTAAATATTAATAATAGGCAGATAAAAAGTCATAAAATACAATATTATGTTTTTCGTTTAATTTCAACAAAACAAATGCAGTTGGTAATCACGTTTTATAAATTTATAAGGAATTAAGTATACCAATGAAATCACGACTTATGAACATCTATCAAAAATTTTTTTCATCGGAAGAACTTGCTTATACGAGGGGGATCAATAAGTCTTTACAAAATCCAAGAGATGGCGCTCGTCACGCTTAAATTATAATGTTTTTGGCAAGCAATACTACTAACGGGCAATTCTTGACTATTTCAAACAGTTTAAAACATCAAATCACCAATTTTGTTCAAAGTTGGTAGACTTCTTACCTATACAGAGGTCAACATCTGTGCAGAGTTTTAGATCAAAATATTGATAAGGGGCCGACTTATCAACTGTTGAAAAAATATTGGACTTTTTTTTATTAATTCGATTTCTCGGAGACTAATAAAGATATAGACATGATTCTTTTTTTAAAAGACGCAGAAAGAGTTTCAATTTTTAAATGTAAATAGTAAAATACCAAATCATTTATTTATGTCATTGTTATAAACAATTTTTTTTTAAATCGACGATATCTTAAAAAACAATTTTTTTTTTTTTAATTTTTGCACCATCGTGTTCCTTGTCATTTTTTACATAAGAAACCGTTGAGAAAATCAAGTGCCCGCTATTGAATTAAGACAGCACTAAAATGAAACGAAAATTTAAATTAAATTTAATGACTTATTTACTTAATATAACGTAATATAAAGTAATATAAGTAAAGTAATATAAGTAATATAAATGAACTATTGTTTTGTACAATCTGAAACAAGATTGAATGAAACATTTACTCTGTGCGTTTGATCGGGCGTGAGAATGACGTATATTCAAAAATGAATGGTAGAAAATAGGTTAGAACAAATTACTTGTAAATAACTCATTAAGAGTATTATGGTGTAGGTCCGATAAAAAAACATTTTTAATGCGGCCGCTTCGTAAATTTGCGCCGGTCTCAAGCCCGATTAAACGTGGAGAGCAAATGTTTAATTTCAATATTATATCAGATTATACAAACTGAGGCCTGTAATGGCTCGGTCGGTAGGGCGACGGACTCGCACCCGGTAGGCCCGGGTTCGATTCCCAGTTCCTGCTGATTAATACAAGCACCACTGAAAAAAGTTTCATGTGCTTTGTTCTCAAATACATTGCAAGCCTCTGTCGCTGATTAGCACTGATGGAGCATAAATAGAGCGACGTTAAATAAAAATAAAAAAAATAAAAGATTGTACAAAATTAGTTTGTTTACATTACTTATTTAATCAATTAATTTATATATTATTTAAATAAATACATATAGACTGATAGAATATGAAATTATTTATTCGGTAAAGGCAATTGTAGCAAGCAACGTTGGAACCGCACGAGTAGCAGACGTTCGAGCGGCCAAGCGGCTGGCACGCGGTTCGTTTCATTTTAGTTCTGTCTTAATCCTAATAGCGGGCACTTGATTTTCTCAACGGTTTCTTACGTCAAAAATGACAAGGAGCACGATGGTGCAAAAATTAAAAAAAATATTATTTTTTGAGATATCGTCGATTTAAAAAAAATTGTTTATAACAATGACATAAATAAATGATTTGGTATTTTACTATTTCCATTTTAAAATTGAAACTCTTTCCGCGTCTTTTAAAAAAAGAATTATGTCCATATCTTTATTAGTCTCCGAGAAATCGAATGAATAAAAAAAAGTCCAATATTTTTTCAACAGTTGATAAGTCGACCTCTTATCAATATTTTGATCTAAAACTCTGCACAGATGTTGACCTTTGTATAGGTAACAAGTCTACCAACTTTGAAAAAAATTTGGTGATTTGATGTTTTAAACTGTTTGAAATAGCCAAGAATTGCCCTAACTAGATAGTTATTGGGTTATTTGAAAAATGGAAAAAATAGAGTTTCGAGCGGTGATAAAACATTTTAATTTGAAAGGCCTTACACCAAAAGAAATCACAGTTGAGTTGAACGCCGTTCATGGCAAGTCTCTCCCTGTGTTTAAGACTGTTTATAACTGGGTAAATGAATTTAAACGCTGCCGTACAACAACAAAAGATGAACCTCGTTTTGGACGCCCCGTAGAAGTGAGTACGCCCGAAATGGTCAACAAAATCCACGATATTGTGTTGAGTGATAGAAGATTAAAATTTCGAGAATTAGTTGAGGCCACAGGGGTATCAAAGGGTACAATCATTTCAATTTTGCATGAAAAATTGGGGATGAAAACAATATCAGCAAGATGGGTTCCGCGTTTGCTCACTGTTGAAAACAAACGAACCCGCGTAGTCACCTCTGAGGCTCTTTTGGCACGCATACGTTGTAATCCGGAAGACTTTTAGCGTCGTCTCGTAAGTGTAGACGAAACACGGGTACACCACTAAACTCCTGAAACCAAAGAACAGTCCAAACAATAGATTACCGCAGGGGAATCAGCCCCAAAGAAGGCAAAGCCAGTAAAGTCAGGTGGCAAGATTATGGCTACGGCTTTCTGGGATGTGTATGGAATCATATACATCGACTACTTGGAAAAGGGCCAGACGATCACTGGACAATATTATGCGTCATTATTAGGTTAACTGAAAGAAAAAATCAGAGAAAATCGTCCTCTCTTGAACAAAAAAAAAATGCCTCTTTTTGCAAGACAATGCTCGAGTTCACACGTTTGCAGTTTGGTTGGCAAAAATTTAACGATTTAAAGTTTGATTTAATTGACCATCCACCATATTCGCCTGATTTGGCTCCCAGTGACTTTTTCTTATTTTCTAACCTCAAAAAATGGCTTGCCGGACAACGATTCACGTCGAATGACGAAGTCATCGCCGAAGCAAATGCCTATTTTGAGGGTTTTCAGAAATCATATTTTTCTGATGGCTTAAAAAAACTGAAAGGTCGTTGAATAAAATGTATCGACCTTCAACGAGATTATGTTGAAAAATAAAAAAAAAATTACATACGTAAAACTTTTTTTTTTCCTTCTTTTTGTAAAGACTTATTGACCCCCCCCCCCCCTCGTATCAAGGTTGAAATAAATTAGATTTTGTTGCTATTATTTGGATGGCTGGTTACTATGACCTATACTCGTATTTATTCGGGATATCAGTGATAATAAATTTCTTGGGTATGTTAAGGAAGTACCATTGGAAAGTGATTTGAAAATGAGAATCTTTCGCTGACGAGAGCGTGAAAGAAAGCTCGAGTTGTTAAACTCAGTAAGTCAAAACTTATCGAGTTTAACAAAGGTATTATCGGATACACTATAGAGCAACAGCAACGCGATCAAGAAACAACAGGAAAACTTGACCGCCAGAGCAGTTGTCTTAGAGAGCAGAGGAAATATAGATGTACATTATACCAATACGAGCCAAATAGGTAATTTACAACAGCAAGGAAACACACAGATGTGTAACGTTTCAAGACACGTTCGCCTGCCATTATGACGCACACTTACCTCAAAGTACGCCAGCAGCGCTCGGCCAATGGCCCACGGAGGCGGCTGACAGGACCCTGCGCAAGATGTTTCCTTTAGAAGGTGGTTTAATGCTGAAGTGGATAACCACACACCAGGCGCATGGTCGAGTCAGAAATTGATAAACCCGTGGTCGACCACGAGAGATATGGGTCGCATTGTCAGAGAGTAGAAACTCAATTTTTCTATGAAAGCAACGCTAACGTAGATACCTTCCTGTCCAGGGTCGATAATATAAGGAGCAGCGCAAAACTCACAGAAGAAGAGATGCTCTTATCAGTGTCAGAACTACTAATCGGACCAGCGCTTACTTGGTACGATATGATGAAAGAAGAATGGCTTACCTACGCTGAATTTGAAGCTGAAGCACAAGAATGATCCGGGACCAGCATATAGTAGCAATAACGACTGATAAGACAGGTCCAAAGCCGATATCAAGGCCCAGATGAACCAGTCAATGTACGAGTATACGTGACCAACATGATGGGTTTAATGCGGCGCCAGAATCCGCCCATGGCGTATGAGCGCCAATTAAACCTGCTACATGCCAATCTCCCTATTGATATCCAGAGCCAGGTGCGTAGAGCTGAAGTAAACTCTATCCGCATACTGAACACCTTGGCCACGGCGGCACAAAATACCTTGAACCAGAGAAAAGTGGAACACATCATATCAAATCCTCAAACGACTCTGTATCCCGATCTGGCTTACCGTCTTCATAATGGAGAGAATAAGAGTCGCAAAACTAAAGTGCGGCGATGGCTCACGAGAAACCAGAGGTCTATGATCGGCTAAGTCAGACGGAAAAGGTGCTAGAAAAAGTGATGGACCAGATCGTTTATACACCGACGCAAGTGAAATCGACCTCAAATGCGACCCTAGCCGCGATTGAGAACGAAAAGAAAAGAAGGTACACAGCCTGTCATAATGGACCAGGTACTGTTATCTCTAGAAGAAATATGGGAGGGAATGAAATCAAACTTTACGAGACGAAGAGTTCAGAAATTTCCCGAAAATAAGAGATGGACTTCACCAAGCCACTCAAATGTATCGAGTACGGACTGCTGGGCTTCAGTAAAAGGTACCGTTTCTAATGTAATAAGGGAAACGATAAAAGGAGTGGTTAGATTGGGTTGATCTCACTCTTTTGTTCCTAATGGTAAACCCGTAGATGTGACATGGTCGCGTACGTGTGTTGAAAACGCGATGACCAATAGTTCGGCAATGGCACGCTGCGTGATTCACACGTCCTCGCTGCCACAAAAAGCGCTGGTAGCGACAAACGCATTGAGTGACGGAAGTAAGGATCGTCTTAGTAGTGCCTGCGATGCGAACAATAGTAAGTGACAACGGAGAGAAGAGATTTCGACGATAAT